CAAAGTGGGTATACAAAATCAAGTACAAAGCTAGTGGAGAAGTGGAAAGGTTTAAGGCCAGATTGGTTGCCAAGGGGTATAGTCAGAGAGAAGGTCTGGATTACAATGAAACCTTCTCACCAGTTGCAAAAATTGGTAACTGTGAGATCTGCTATTGCACTTGCAGCTTCCAGGGGTTGGAATATCTCACAAATGGATGTATATAATGCCTTTCTACAAGGTGATCTATATGAGGAAGTATACATGGAGCTGCCTCAGGGTTTCAGAAAGCAGGGGGAGACAAAGTTTTGCAGGCTGCTGAAATCACTATATGGGCTAAAATAGGCTTCAAGGCAGTGGAATATCAAGCTTAGTGAGGCCCTCATAGCTGCAGGATACATCCAAAGCCTTCATGACTATTCCTTGTTTACTAAGAGGAAAAATGAAGACTTTGTGGCAGTACTAATATATGTAGATGATATGTTGATAACTGGAAACAACACACAATTCATCAATGAGACCACAGAGGTGCTTCTTCAACAATTTAAAGTCAAGTACCTTGGTGATATTAAATATTTCCTGGGGATAGAAGTGCTAAGGTCAAAGAGTGGAATTCTTTTGAACCAAAGGAAGTACTGTCTCCAATTGATTTCTGATTTAAGCATAGGAGGTGCCAAGCCTGTTCTCACTCCAATTGATCTCAATCAAAAGTTCACTTCTGCAGAATTCGACAGACACACTGGTGTTGGAAATGATGAGGTATTATCTGATGCAAATGAATACCAACGACTGGTTGGTAGGCTGATTTATCTTACCATCACTAGGCCAGACATTGTATTTGAAGTACAGACTCTTAGTCAATTCATGCAAGAGCCCAAAAAGTCTCATTGGGATGCAACTGTGAGAGTTGTGAGATATCTCAAATATGAGCCAGGGATGGGAATTTTTCTTGGCAACTCGAATGAAGACAGCTTGACTTACTTCTGTGATGTTGATTGGGCTAGTTGTCCAAACACACGCAGGTCTGTTACAGGTTATTTGATCAAATTTGGTGATTCACTCATTTCTTAGAAGTCGAAAAAATAGCACACATTGTCAAGGAGCTCTACAGAGGCAGAATACAGAAGTTTAGCAGCAGTAACAACAGGGGTTGTGTGGTTATTGGGACTGGTTGCTGAATTAGGTATGACTATCAAACAACCTATGAAAGTCTATTGTGATAGTAAGTCTGCCTTGCAAATAGCAGCCAATCCTATTTTTCACGAACGTACCAAGCACATAGAGATTGACTACCATTTTGTACGAGAAAGAATCAAGCAAGGTCTGCTCATGCCTCTTTTCATAGGCACTAAGGATCAACAAGCTGATTTGTTGACCAAAAGGCTTGGTCATTCTGAGCATACTTTTCTTTTAGGCAAGCTTGGGGTGCTCAATATTTTATACCCTCCAGCTTGAGGGGGATTGTGAAGAATAGTTAGGTAATATTTTTAGTTAGTTAGTAGTTAGTGATGGGTCCCAGCCATGGCAGATCTTCAATCGAGCTTGCATTGATAAATCTGAAGTGTGAACTCAGATTTATCAAGCTCACAATATGGCATTTCAAATTAATTTCGTCTAGATGAACTTGCTTATACTTTCAATTTCAAGTCTGAATAAAGAATGAAGGTTATAACAGGCAGACAGTTGGTGTAAAATTTGTTATTTCGTGATGAATCCTCATAATATGATATTTTGCAATTAATCGCAAATATTGATTCAGAGTTATGACAAATTATATGTTTTACATATCTGAAATTATAATTTTTGAAATTAGTTCAAATATTATATGTTGGAAAAAGAACATATAAAGAAATTATGGGTGAATTTCGTACGAAGTCCAATTATTTCATATTTGGTTGGCTTAAATATTTTGGTTGATATTTTTCTCATGAACTTAAAATAACTTTCCTACAAAAAGAAGGAAAAATATTTTTCAAAACTCGTTTTCAATCTTCCTCACTCCCAACCTCACCCCCTCCCCCCGCCCCACCCTCATCCCCCGCTACCCCCAACATCGTCCACTACTAGAAAACTGCCTAAAACCGTCCAGAAATACCGACCGAAATCGATCAGAAAACTGAAAAAACAGCCAGATTTTCAACCGACTTTAATCCGTCGAAATTAAGTTGGTCGGTAAAAAATAGCGACCGAAGTCGGTCGCAATTTCCGACCAATTTCAGTCGGTAAATTAATTTTCACAAACGAGCCAAAAAGAAAAAATCTGCCTTAGGTCGGTATTTTTCGACCGAATGCCGTCGGTATTTTTAATTATGCAATTAAAAAATGCACCGTCTGGGACTTGAACCAGGGTTTGTATTGTGGTGAGATACTATTCTACCATTAGAATATTCGAACATTTTAGTTTAAGACTTTCTTTTAATTTATTTTTACTCTTTAATTGCATTTTCGCGTGAAAATAACCGACCGATTTCGGTCGGTTTTACTAAAAATATAAAATTGCCGATCGAAGTCGGTCGGGTTTTTAAAATGACTGACTGAAATAACCGACCAATTTCGGTCGATTTTTTGAATATTAATTTAATTTATTTTATATGAAAAACCGACCGATTTCGGTCGGCTTCTTAAAAAATAAATTTCACGTGATGACATTTATGCGCCAAAAAAACCGACCGAAGTCGGTCGGTTTCGTAAAAAAATTAAAAATAAAATAGTTTGACGGTCGGTTTTTCAGTCGGCTTTTTGACCGACCGAAGTCAGTCGGTTGGCCGCGGTCGGTTTTGGCCGAATTTCTAGTAGTGGTCACCACTACTCTGGGCTCTAGATCTCGACCTACCACCCTCTCTCGCTCTTACCTATCTCATCTCATATAGTGTTTGTTAGTAGACTGTATTTGCAAAATAATTCTGGAAATATAAATGAGTATAAACAGAAATGAACATAAACAGAAATGACATAAAACCAATTCGAGCCCACTGAATTCACAGTGTTTCCTTAAGGAATTTAATCCCCTCCTAGTACCCAAGGTTATGGATTATTTCCTCCCAGGATAGAACGAATTACACACTGGTGTAGTGGTACTTCAAACCCCAGTGTTTCAGCGAACACAAAGTTCGGTAGCAAATCACACTTACTTTTTGCTTTGTTTGATGCTAAAAGTATGCAGAAGAAGGGAGAAGAAACTCAGAAAATCGTAGTGAAATTCTGAGCAGAATAGTGTTGTATTTATAGCCAAAGTTAGGCTGAAATCTGAAGAGGTGCAACTCTTCAGAATGGCTGTTTATGCAAAACGCCCACAGCATAAATGCCATTACATAAATGGCCATTTACTCAATAATAAAGAGGGAAAATAAAGAGGGAAAATTGAAGAGGGTAGTTACTTTTCTGTTACCAAAACAGAAAAACGGATTGGATTTAATATTAATATTTAATATTAATATTTTGTTATTAAAACAAATATTTAATAACATTTCTGTTAATATTTTACTATTAACAAATAAATTTGGTCCAAAAAAGTTAATCAATCAATCGATCATTTGACCAAATCCAAATCCAAATCCGAATCCGAATCCGAATCCGAAGCCGAAGCCGAAGCCGAAGCCGTAGCCATAGCCGAAGCCGAAGCCGAGCCGAGCGAGCGACGACGACGACGGCGCGAGGCTTGCCTTCTTCTCAACTCTTTAAGAGCTAGAAGAAGAGCAATTGCTTATATACCCATAAAAAACCTCTTCCTCTTCCAATATTGGACAATGCCCATTTGCCAAGGGGGGGAACTTAAAATTTCACTCAAAAATTTTATTTCCCTCCATTTTCTATTCACCCTCTTTTAAGTATTTAATATATTAATTAAACACATCCAAAACCCAACAGCGACCCCCCGTAAAACCTCTACTTGTGATATTTTATTGGCACACCGCCATTGACTTAGGCCTCGGCGATGCAAGCGATGCCCCGATAAGCCTCTACTTGCGACATTTGGTTTAGCCTTTCCCTCGATATGACTAAGTATCAAGTCACGTTGGACGCTCAATACACAAATAGCATACGTTCCAAGGTCTTGAGGACTTGTTAGATTTTCCGACACTTAGTGTAATATAGAATCAAGGGAGGAGCAAACCTCTTTTCGGATAAGTTAGAAATAGATTGGATTGGAGGGGAGGGATGAATCGGAGTGACAAAGGGCTGAATCTCAGTGGATCGTGGCAGCAAGGCCACTCTGCCACTTACAATACCCCGTCGCGTATTTAAGTCGTCTGCAAAGGATTCTACCGCCGCTCGATGGAAATTGTACTTCAAGGCGGCCACTGCGGCTCTTCCGCCGCGATGACTTAGCCAACGACACGTGCGTTTGGGGGACATAGGCCCCTACTGCGGGTCGGCAAGCGGACGCATGCGTCGCTTCTAGCCCGGATTCTGACTTAGAGGCGTTCAGTCATAATCTAGCGCACGGTAGCTTCGCGCCACTGGCTTTTCAACCAAGCGCGATGACCAATTGTGCGAATCAACGGTTACTCTCGTACTAGGCTGAATTACTATTGCGACACTGTAATCAGTAGGGTAAAACTAACCAGTCTCACGACGGTCTAAGTGTAAATATGCAATCTTACGACACATAAAACAAAAAGAATTGCTAAGCCCAAGATAAAGGGATTAAGCTAAGCACATAGAATATTACACCACATACACTCTGCAGCTTCTTTTTAAGCAATTTTGGTAATATTTTATGTTCAAAACCTCAGATCCAACCCATATCACTAGATTCCCCATCTGTAAAGCTAGTTCATGGAGAGAGAAATATGGAGATTGTATCCCTAGGGTAGCAGACTCAAACCAAATTATGTTTCACTTCTTGGCTTTAATGAACTAAATCAAGGTAAAAAACTCATGTTTTCTGTTTTTGATGCTTCCATGTAGTGTAGGAATCAAGAATGTTTAGTCCAAAGTCATTGCATTGCCTTAAAATAGTGTTATTCAATTCTAACTCTTCGTGTATATTTTTTTACTTCTCTTTTGTGGATTATAAGGTATTGGGACATTCGCCACCGTGCAAAATGAGGACCTTGAGGAGATGCGTCGGATGATTCAACAACTTTCTAGGAACTGTGCGGATGAACGAGAAAAAAGAAAGCATGAAGAGAAGATTAGAGACGCACTTAGGAATGACATAGACTCCCTCGAGGCTCAAGTGAACCACTTAATCGGCTTGCCCCGCTCTCCGCCAAAAAGCCACATTTATGAAGAGGATGAAAGTGATGGAAATAATACAAATGATGAAGAAGATGAGGGGGAATCCGGAGATGAGTGATTTTATGTTTGGTTGGATTGTTGTTTAGTTGGATGTCAACTTTGAATGTTACATTTTGATGTTTAGTTGGATAGTTTTGATGATTGATGGGATAATTTGGATATTTGGATGTTTGATGGGATAATTTGGATGTTTGGAGATAGTATATAAAGTTTTGTTGTTAAGTTGAGTTTTATTGTAGTTGAGTTTTATTGTGGTTGCATTTTAGTTTGTATTGTAATATTCTGCTGGCAGGTGGTGCAACAAAAAATAGGCATTGCCTGCCAAAAATGTACCAGATTTACCAAGGGACCTACCGACAGAGTTCGTCGGAACAATTATTCATTTTCAATCCAGAATTCTTAATTAGCGAGGGAGTCCGTCGGTATACTTGAGCCAAATTTTTAGATTTTGTTGAAAATACCGACGGATATCCATCGGAATATGAATTTATTCATATTTTTAATTTTTATATTACTAAATTAAAATTCTAAACTTACCGATGGTGTCCGTCGGTATTATTAAATTGTTATTTTTAATTTACCGACGGATCGGTATTATTATTATTATTATTATTATTATTATTATTATATTATATTATATTATAATATACGGACTGATATCCGTCGGTAAGTAAAATTTTTTGACCAAACAGCTGTCAGAAATGTACCGATGGCTTTCCGATGGGGTCCGTCGGTACTTACCGGCGGATTCTGTCGCATTTTACCGAGGAAGGATTTACCTACCAACCACTTACTGACGGACTTCCGTCGGTAAAGCCTTGTTACCTACGGACATCCAGTCAATAAATCTGTTCTCTTTCTCTTTACAGTACTTCAATCTCCAGTTTATTTTAATTTGTCCTCACAACCAAATAAAAACATGTTAATATTTAGAGTGTTATTTCAGTAGTTATTTACCTCTATGGTGTAAAAGTCTCTTCTTAAATTTTTCTTCTGCGACTTGGAGGATGAAAAAAAGGCAAAAAGGAAAGAGAGGACTAGATAGAGATATATCCTGAGGTAAGATGATAGACCACTACGAGACAGACTGTCCCAACCTTAGCTTTGTAAAGTTGTCTAAGAGAGGCCTGCTCATACTCGATGTATATGTCTTTGTGTGGTAGAAACAGAGATTCTGTTAATCCTGTAACAAGAGGAAAAAGCTACATGAGAATGTAATGGACATATACCATAGTCATAATCAAGTATAATACAAAGAAGGAAACAACACCTGCTTCTTTCAAGACCATTTAAACAGTAGAAAATTTCTTCACCAAAAAGTGTTGCAGAACAAATAATTGATTTTACCAATCAAATATTTTTGTACTTTTTTGGAACTCAATTAGCAGACGCAAAGACTTAGGATAACACAAAAAAGGTCAGGTTTAAGATTTGATATTTACATCTACATATTCCCCATTGTAGTTTAGTTCTATTTAACTTAAGATAAACATTCAGCAACTAGGACGTTATAATTGATCAATGTTAGAATGTTAAAAGTTAGAAATAGAATATTAGAAGTGTCCAGTTCTAAAGTAGGATATTGTCCAACATTGGAGAGATAACATGCGCATATCGTGGTTAACACCTATAAAATGGTGCTTCTTTTATTTATCCAATCATTAAGTCATCAGTATATTTCCTCTTATCTTTATTTTCTCACTAGATATCAATCCTTTACAGGTAAAGATCTAGGTAGCTTCTGTCTACATGGCAAGTCAGCTGACTAATTTTTTTACTCTTTCATAATTTTAGTACCGTGCCCGTGCTCGTGGCACCACTCACTCTTAGTTTTGGTGAAATTTCGGCCTACCATCCTTTATTGACCAATCCTGCAGTACGTGCCCTCTCTGATTATCGCTTCGGCAGCACAGTGCCTTTTGCCGGCAACTGTTCTAATGGTAGTACTGTATTTCCCTTGTGGTGACCATTTCAGATCATTGTGCCTCCTTTTTGATGATCATTTGGCAGTACCATATTTCTAGCATAAATTTTTCGACAAGATCCTGACGACTAAGCCTTTTCCACTAAGATTCCAATAATCATAACTTTCCGACAATTGTCCAGCAAGATCTCTGGCAACCATATCGTTGATTATGTACTTTATACTTCAATAATAAGCAAACTCGAATTGTTTTTCCCACTTTAATTTCAAAGGGACATGTCAGGTGTTAGAATTAGAAAATTAGAAGTGTCAAGTTCTTACATAAGATATTTCCTAGCATTAGTCGAATTTATATGTGTATTATCATGGTAGACACCTATAAAAGGTGTATTTTGTATTAGCCATAACATCGACTCATCAATATATCTTTTCACTTTTCTTTATTTTCCAACTATCAATAGCTAGAGAAAACAGATAATACTTGGAATGAAAGGAAAAAATTATTAAAAAGGAGAAAAAGAACAAGTGAGGGATTGTCCAAGACTTCAGTTTTTTGTCATCAACCTGTTTCTTAGTGATACATAACTTTTGGTGGTAAGGAAGGAATTCAAGTTTCTTCAACAATCTGTATTTACCACCAAGCTTCACTAGCCATGCGCTACCTTCTTTTTTCCCATTCAATGGTAAGATGTCCGGTCTTCCTTTTTTTATTGCTTCTACCTCCAATTCAATTAATTGATCATCTTCCTTTATTCCAGAAGGAGGGGGGGGTCCCAGCCTAGTGGATCAAATTGATAAACTGCTTATCCTTCTGCACTCTTATATTATTTTTTCTACTATCTTCAGTGTCTTTTCACCTCCTCTTAACGAGGAAACGAATGTTCTGCAACGGAATTGAGGTAAATCTTTTGTTTTACAACCAATACCAATACCTTATTGTGTAGGGCTTAAGAGATTTGTCACAGCCCTTATTATTTCAAAATCCTAGTTAACAAAGTTATTTCAGTGTCAATACACTTTAAAAAATTTGGCTTATACATGTCTCCATTAAAGAATACTTATAATTTTTTGGCTTATACATGTCTCCATAAAAGTACATCCTCAATATATCATTTACAAGCAATGTGAGAACAACACAAGAGAATTCATAAAATTTTTTTAGTTCTTTAATATTTACTCATGTGAATTCTCTTTTATTTTTGCACATCATACTTAAGTTAACATGTATACCATGACGTGTGCAATTATCAATAAACTCTAAATTTATTATGATATGAGTTTTTATATCAATAAACATCCACTTTATTGTGGTATTTTTTATTTGTGTAGTACAAACTGGACAATAAAGTATAACACCCCATACATTCGGACTAGATTTGGATAGGTTAAATGGGTATTAATCTGATATTTTAGACATATGAAGTCCTAGCGGGATGAGTATATATGGGTGAACAAAATTCGACAAAATCAACTAAGTTTACAAAAGGTCCGTCTTCCAGCAGCAGTTAGTGAAAACTTGTAAGGAATTTGGGAAAACTCAAAAGATGCAAGTTGTAGGCCTTTGAAATAGATTTCCAACGATATATTATGGAGCCCGAACGGATCTCTGTGCAAAAAGTTTTGTGGGCTTTACAGAAAAGTGCACAATATGCGCGCCTCATGCGCGGCCGCGCACTTGTGGGAGTGTTAGTGCCATTTTGCACGGTCAGGCCTTCTGGTGCACGGGGAGCGCACTTGGGGGTTCATTTTAAAGCCCTACTTCGTCCACCACACCCCCAAAACACAAAAACTTGCTCTAGAAATGAGAGCTCTCAAAAACCTAACTCCTTAAGGGTCCCTCCACCATCCAAGGTAAGTTCTAATGGTGATTCTAAGTTAATTTCAATTTCCCAACATCTTATTAACATGGGTAAACCATCCATATCATTAGATATTTGATTGGGACATCATTGTTGAGAGAAGGAACCCTAGAACTCGAATTTAAGGGGATTGAACTTCAAAAAGGTAATGTCATCACCCTCTAATTGATTCTAGCATTAGATTAATCATTATAGACTCTAGTTCATGAGATATGAGTTGATGGGTTTGATAGAAAAGCATGACGGTTATAGGTTTGGGGTGTTGATTGTTGATTATTGGTTAAGGGTGTTGTTTACCTTATGGGTGATAAAGAATGATGTTGATTGTAACCATTTGAGACTTTAGAATTTATCTAGGAGCAAGAGAATGGGTTATTGGGTGTAGAGACACCATTAATAAGGATTATGAAGCTTTATTATCACCAAGTGTTTGATAAAATGCTTAAGTGTCCAAATTATGAGTATCATAGCTAATATGGAATCCCTTTGAGTTGTATTGCTATAGATTAAAGATGAAAGGGTTGACAAATGTTGTAATACGCTCAGGAGCAGGAAGTTAAGGTATGGGAGGCTAATTCTCTATGTTTGGGAATGTTAATGATTCTCCCTACACTATGTTTCTTTTACCACGTTACTAATTACCTCAGAAATACAATTAAGCCTAATTCATTGAATAATTGCATAACTTCTATTCTCTAGCTTCATAACTCGTTCATGACTTTCATTCTGAACGTTGTGAGCTCAGTGCGTATTCAATATAGACTTGGGTTTGATGCCCCTGTGTCTTAGTATAGATTACTCAGTATGCCGTGAACAGTTGAAGTTTCAGTGTTCATAATCAGTTCAAGAATACATATCTCAGTCTAGTCCTATTCAGTATTCCAGTATTATATAACTCGGTGTGATCCCGTATTCCAGCATCAGTAACTCAGTGTGATCCAGTATTTCACTATCACGTATTGCAGTATGATTCTCATTTCCTAATTTTAAATCCCTGAATGTTGAACTCCTGTCTTTGGGCCTGAGGCCGCAGTTTATGCTTTATACATCTTTAGGCCTGAGGCCGCAGTTATGTATACATATACTTGGGCCCGAGGCTGCAGTTGTGCACACATATATATTGGGCCTGAGGTCGTAGTTTAATATTAAGATAAACATATTGTTCATCATTCAGAAGAGGCAATATTCATATTCTTACTTCCTTTGTTCTGTTCAGTTATCAATTATCACTTATCATTTCAGTTATCAGTTATCATTTCAGTTTCTGTTTCAATAGTTATCATTTTAGTATCAATTATCAATTCTCAATTATCAGCTTTGTTTCATTTTCAGCATTTATAATTCTTTCTTTCAGTTGTTTTACATACCGGTAGAATTCAAATGTACTGACGTCCTTTTTGCCGGGGCCTGCATCTCACGATGCAAGTAATGATTTACAGGTTGACGATTTAGAGCGCTAGGATTCTCGTACCAGGTATTTAGTGATCCCCAGTTCTTCCGGGGCATTATCATTACCGTACAATCTTCAGTATTTTAGACAGTCAGTGTTTTCAGTACTTCATTAGAGGCTTCATAGACTAGAGTAACAGTTAGACAGAATCACATGCATTTAAGGTTAAGCAATGTTGCTACATATATGTTTTAGGCCTATATTAGTGTTTCCGCATTTGATTTATATCATTTAGACTTTCAGTATATCAGAATGTGTTAGTTTATCTTCCGCATTCAGTATGTTATGATATCACATTGATTCAGCCAGACAGTTGGTTCGCTCGGCCACATGTAGTCAGACACCGAGTGCCGTGTTACGTCCAAGCCCAGGTTCGGGGCGTGACATAAAGCGGGTAATTTTTCACATACATATTACCCCCTCCCCCTACAAGTTGTAGTAATAGAAGATATCAAATCTTTTCTTTATTTATAGTCTCGATATAACCAACCGCTTTCGCGAATACCTTAGAAACTCAATTAAGTTTCTTTGAGACTTACTACAACATAATGCCTTATTGATAATCAATTTTATTCCTCCAAAATAGTAATAATTGGCTCTTTTAGAGCTCTCAATTAATTTGGTACTACCACATATTCATTATTCATCAACATCCATATGGTGAGTATCTCTTTTAAAGAGAAAGTTATACCATTATGGTTATGGTCAGAATTCTATACAAGATCTGTTCCTTCCATTACTATTGCCCTTTAATAATCACATTGCCAAATATTTTGGCGTACAATAGGTATGTGACCAACGACCATTCATGCCATAATAATGACATTATTTTCTTATATCATCTCAAACCTCTTTCTAGAGGTGAATGTTGTATATCCACTACCACTAGCATGTTCATATTCTTCCAAGAATGAATATGTATTCATAAATCACATGTTATCATTCACATTATGAATGGGCCATAGTCATGTATATGTGCTTTACGAAATCTCGTGTCAAATCGATGACAAACATTAATTTCACAGAGTGAAGGATTATTTTGAGAATTCTTATTGTTCTCATTACCACGATGATGACGATTATAATTTCGTCTATTTTCACGTCCACATCCATTGATACCTTTACGGTAACAATTTTGTCTTCATACTCGCATATTGCTACACATTCTCTTAAGAGAATAAGAATGAAGCAAATTTAATGGGACGGATTTCCATTTCTTTGCCTACAATCATACATGAATTTGATCATGGCAACGCATAGAAATTTTATCACTTTGGGAGGTTATAATTTCTTACAAACTCTATTAGAGTTATAATCAAAATTTATTGTCTTTGCTTGTATTTAAAACTAAATTATAGAATTTCAAGAATTTAAAAGAGAAAAACAAAGTAAAATACTTACCTTAAATCCAAAATTTAATCATGAAGGAAGTTCATAGAACAATTTACAATTATTATGCTCAATCCCAAATCTTCTACTCAATTGGTTAGAATCTCGTGTTGATAACGTGTTATAAAATAATAAGATAAGAAGAAGAGTATTGCAGAGAAAAGTAGGGAGAGAGAATTCTTATTGATTTGTAATCAATTACAATGGAATAGAACTCCTTTATTTATAGGGGAAAAGTGACTTAGCCGCCAAGTAAAATCCGTACAATCTCTCTAAAATATAGATTCACCTTAAATAGAATTCTATTTATAACATAATCATTAATTCTACTAATAAAAATCGTAAAAAGCCAAAGCTTCTAACCAAANTGCTTTGTTTGATGCTAAAAGTATGCAGAAGAAGGAGAAGAAACTCAGAAAATCGTAGTGAAATTCTGAGCAGAATAGTGTTGTATTTATAGCCAAAGTTAGGCTGAAATCTGAAGAGGTGCAACTCTTCAGAATGGTTGTTTATGCAAAACGCCCACAGCATAAATGCCATTACATAAATGGCCATTTACTCAATAATAAAGAGGGAAAATAAAGAGGGAAAATTGAAGAGGGTAGTTACTTTTCTGTTACCAAAACAGAAAAACGGATTGGATTTAATATTAATATTTAATATTAATATTTTGTTATTAAAACAAATATTTAATAACATTTCTGTTAATATTTTACTATTAACAAATAAATTTGGTCCAAAAAGTTAATCAATCAATCGATTGACCGAATCCGAAGCCGAAGCCGAAGCCGAAGTCGAAGCCGAGCCGAGCGAGCGACGACGACGACGGCGCGAGGCTTGCCTTCTTCTCAACTCTTTAAGAGCTAGAAGAAGAGCAATTGCTTATATACCCATAAAAAACCTCTTCCTCTTCCAATATGGGACAATGCCCATTTGCCAAGGGGGGAACTTAAAATTTCACTCAAAAATTTTATTTTCCTCCATTTCCCATTTACCCTCTTTTAAGTATTTAATATATTAATTAAACACATCCAAAACCCAACAGTGTTTGCCTCAATTTTTCTGCTATCTAACCGAACACTAAAGTTACTTATTTTTCAAGAAAATATTTATCTTCGTACCAAACACACCCTACGAATTTGACATTTTGACTCCAAAACATAAAAGGTGGAGCACATTTTTGACAAATCAGCCCATCAAGTACCTATATATATAGCTCATACCCCACCCCTTAAATCTCAAAACATGCTATTTTGAGAGAAAAACAAGTATAGAATTTGCATGCATATACATTTCTTCTTTCTATCTTTAGATCTTATAAACTTTCTATATCAATCTCTTATCCTTGTCAATTAAAATGCCAGATTCACCACCATCATTACCAACAACAAGAAAAATTCCATTTCCACCACCACCATTGAAGATAAGGGTAAATAGCCCTTCAATGTCAGAGTTAAAGAAAAGTCTATTTTCACCTAATTCATTGAGGTCTCCAACAATTAGGATACCAACATTCAAGTCTCAAAAATCCATGTTGTTGTTGGCTTATGTTTTCACTTTCTTATTTGTTACATGTGCTATCTTTTTTATCTTCAATAATCCTCCCATTAACCATTCTTTCAAGAAAGTTCTCAATAAGAGATCACAGTTCTCCACATTTTTCTCACACTATTTCTCCTCCAATAATTACACCTCTAATCAAAACTCAACTGGTTACTCTCTCCCATTTAACAGGAAAACAAATGGGGTTTTTGGGAAACTGAATGATTCTAATTCTGTTTCTCATCAAAATGGGTTTTCAATATCTCCTAGCCAAATGAATGACTCTGAAAATGGCGAAAAGGGTTTACAGAATTCAATGAAGAATGAAGAGGAAGAGAAACAAAAGGTGAATTTCTCATCAAATTATGTGAGAAATGAAACATCAACTGAAAATCAAAAGAATGAGCCTTGGTGGGAAGTATTGAGTCATTGTGATGTTTTTGATGGGAAGTGGGTGAAAGATGATGCTAACCCTTTATATGAACCTGGTTCTTGTCCTTTTATAGATGAGCCATTCGATTGTTATAGAAATGGAAGGCCTGATAATGGGTATGAGAAATATAGATGGCAGCCTAAGCACTGTAACATTCCAAGGTAATAAGCTACTTCAAATGATTTTGATTTTTTCTGTACAGCATCTATATGCATTACTAGGCTTGAAGGAGAGGCACAATGGTAAAGTTATAGCCATGTGGTCAGGAGGTCATGGGTTTAAGTTGCAAAAATAGCTTCTTAGAGGAATGCAAGGTAAGGTCGTGTAAAATAGACCAATGTAGTCCGGCCCTTCCAGACCCACGTATAGTGGAAGCCTAATACACTGGGCTGCCCTTAGTTTATGCATCTATGGGCTTGAAGCGGAGCCTTGGCTTAAAGGTTCTGCTTTGGTTTAAACCGCGGAAACAGTCTCTAGCAGAAAAGCAAGGTAAGACTATGTACAATAAACCTAATGTTGTTAGACCCGTTTCGGACCATGCTCATAGAAAAAGTTTAGTTCATTGGGCTGCCCTTATTTTTTCCAATGCATTGCTAAGCTTGAAGGGAGACTTGGTGCAAGGTAAAAGTTGCGGCTGTGTGACTAGGAGGTCACATGTTTAAGAAGTGGAAACCTAATATGGCCTGGCCCTTTTCAGAACCGATGTATAGTAGGTGCTGTGTGGTCGACCCTTCCGGACCCACGTAGAGTGGAAGCTTAGTACATTGGGCTTTATGCATTTATAGGCTTGAAGTTGAGCCTTGGCTTAAAGGTTCTGCCTTGGTTTAAGCTGCGGAAATAGTCTCTAAAAGAAATGCAAGGTAAGACTGTGTATAATAGACCTAATGTTGTTCGACCCTGCACATAGAAAAAGCGTAGTTCATTGGCTGCCCCTATATATTTTAATGCATTGCTAAGCTTGAAGGAGAGACTTGGTGCAAGGAAAAAGTTACGACCATGTTAGCAGGAGGTCACATGTTTAAGAAGTGGAAACCTAATACGGTTTGGCCCTTTTCAGACCCCGTGTATAATAGGAGTTTAGTGCACTGACCTTCCTTTCTTATGCAATTGCTTGGCTTAATTCTGAGAATGTTCTTTCTCTTAAATAGTGTTACTTTATTTTTCAGGTTGAATGCCAAAGAAATGTTGGAACTTTTGAGAGGAAAGCGATTAGTCTATGTTGGTGACTCTCTGAACAGGAATATGTGGGAATCAATGGTTTGTCTCCTCAGAAATTCTGTTGAAGACAAGAGCAGAGTTTTTGAGGTATCTGGAAGAGAAGATTTCAAGAAAGAGGGTGCTTATTCTTTTATATTCGCGGTATGTTTCTTCGTTTCACTTGTCTTTTTCATCTACATTAACGTCGGATTATTCAACAAAGTGTTGTTGCATCTTAGTAAAAGGAGGTGAAAGGACAGGAGGAGAAGAGAGTAGGAGGTTAAGGATTTATCTGTTCTAGATGGTGCATCTGCATCGCGTCGGAAGCAAAAGTTTTGGATATTAACAGTCTAACAGATCAATGAAGATGAAGGTAATGTGGTGCAGCTAAATTGCTGGATTGAGAAAGTAAAAGGGCAGCCAAGTGCACGAAGCATCCCGCGTTTGGTCCGGGGAAGGGCCGCACCCCAAGAGGGTGTGATGTAGGCAGCCTACCTTGCTGCAAGATCAGTGACTGATTTCACGGCTCGAACCCGTGCCCCATAGGTCACACGGAGACAACTTTGCCGTTGCTCCAAGGCTCTCCTTCCAAATGGTGCAATGATCTGTAAAAGATATGAATTGCTCTTGCATTATATGTCCAAAGTTTTCCTTGGTCCTTGTTGTTTCACTATAAAGTTGACAAAGGTTTTGAAAAAGGAAAATGAAATACTACATAGTTAGTTACCAATTTAGTTTCATTAATTCCTTGAAACAATCTGCTGAACCGTTGTTGATTGTTTGTGCAGGACTATAATTGTTCAGTAGAGTTTGTACGTTCAACGTTTCTGGTTCAAGAATGGGAAATGCCAGATGGAAATGGATCAACTAAAGAAACACTCAGATTAGATCTGGTAGAAAGGTCATGTGACAAATACAAAGGAGCTGATATCCTTGTCTTTAACACAGGGCATTGGTGGACTCATGAGAAAACATCCGAAGGGTAATATTTCTCCGTCCATTTCTACATTCGATCATGTTTTTCTGCATCTTTTTTGCAGAAGGAAATAGATTAGGATGTTTATTTGGATTTCATTCTTGAAAGCTAATTTACTATGTATGGACAAACTTTTAGGAAGGGTTACTATCAAGAAGGTAGTCATGTTTATGGTGAATTAAACGTTGTTGAGGCGTTTCGCAAGGCAATGACAACATGGGCAAGATGGATTGAGACCAATGTAGATCCTCTGAAGACCGACGTTTTCTTTAGAGGCTATTCAGTCTCTCATTTCAGGTAACTCAAAGATGTCCTTATTTTACCTTCTAGTATTCAAGAAAAGCCCCCAAGACTTTGGTTCACTAGTAATAGTGCAACGATGTGATGTGTGGATTAGACACACGTATGTGTTGGCACGTACGGACCAAAAGCCTAATAATTAAGTAGAAAATAATAGAGGGACAAATTTTTATCCACCAAATCGTGCACCAACTGACCCTCGTAGATTCCTCAGTTATCAAAACATTCAAGGAAAAATATTACAGAAGTGATCAAGTTTTCTTTTGGTGTTTGTGTTTTTTGGCAGTGGAGGCGAGTGGTATGCCGGTGGAAAATGTGATAGTGATACAGAGCCACTTAAGGATGAGAAAGATTTGTCACCTTCTCTGTATCCTTCAATAATGGGAATGTTAGAGGATGTGATAAGGTGGATGAAGACACCAGTATACTATTTGAATGTTACCATAATGTCAGATTTCCGCAAGGATGGACATCCATCGATATACAGGAAGCCAAATATGACAGACGAGGAGAGGAGGACGACGATAAGGTATCAAGATTGCAGCCATTGGTGCCTTCCTGGTGTACCAGACACTTGGAATGAGCTACTATATGCTCAACTATTGATGAAACATTATCAGAAACAACACAAACAACAGCAGCAGCAGATAGGTTCTTAGGCAAATATAGCTATAGTATTGTATAGATATGATATTGTGGGACGAAATATGTCTCGGTTAGTTTTAGTTTTTCCCTGATTGGAAATCAGGGTTGGCAACATGACATCGGCTGGCAAAAACTGTCTCTGTTAGTTGTAGTAGCTTTTCCTAATGAGAAGCCGGAGACGATTGCCATTAGCTACAGATAGTTCAATGTAGAACTACTTATCCAACAATGTAGTTGCAAGTTGCTATTACTTTACTGTGCTATAATATGAGGTAAAAAGTATATACACATCCTTACTGCTAGCTTTCAATTAGTGATTTCAACATTTTAGATAGCTAATATCATCTCAGGTTAGACAAAATATAGCTTCATAAATAAATTGTTTTAGCATTTGGTTGGAGACAAAAGAGAGATCTTGATTCACTTTAGCTTTAGGCAACATAAACAACAAGCAATTAATCAGTATCAGTGATAACTTTAGAATAATTTTAGTAAAGCTTATGATTGATGTAAATGGAGGAGTCATCCCTATCATAGTTTAGACTCACTGTAATGTGCACACACCTAGACTTTTTTTGCTTATGCTTCTCAAATGATGGAGAATGGGAATGTACCTTCTCAACCGACGAGATGACGGGGTAAAGGGAAAAAACTTACCCACTCCGGGTTTATACACCCGGCCATTAAACAATGAAGTGATCAACACATGTCACTTTGTTTAACTAGAATTATTAGTATTTAACTATAGTTAACTAATTTTGAGATATATTAAATATAATAATATTCTACTAAAATACTTAATATTTTCACATCTCCGTTAAGCTAACAATAACATCAAATCGACGGTACATTTTTGTTTTTGTGCCACCAAGGCCATTACACCATTACCAGCATAATTTTTTTTTCCCTTCTACTTGTTGTAAGTATAATTAGTTATACAAACATATTTTAGCTTTTATTTGGAAAAAGAATTCTTACTTTTGTTTTACTATCATAGCTATATTTGTAATTTTGTTATTACTGCGTAGCTACAACTAATAATATATGCTTACATGTAAAATTTGTCTCCCATAATATAAACTTATGGTTGAATTCTTGGCAAAATAGTTTGCATTACTTTCCCGTAACTATTATTGTAAAGGTAAATTCAATTTAAATCGAGCAAAACACCATCATTCTTTATGAAAGATTCTTGCCATTTAAAAGTAGAAAATATAAAAGCTTAAGTAAAATTTCTTTAGGTTATGGCTCTTAATCTGAATTAGTAGGCTATTGTTTCGGAATACTCAAAGAATGAAGAAAGAAGGACTCTTAGACCTTACTCCTTTTACATTGTTATTTCTTTCTTTTAATTTTTTTTATTTGTTTAAAATTATAAGGCTCTTAGATCTTAGTTGTCTTCTATGATTAGCTTAATTATATTGGGTGAACACCCAGTGCGTCTAAGTTTTTTCCCCGGGTAAAGTATGATGTTCTCCACTTCCCCACCTAGGTATACCAAATAATCGGAAATAGCAATTGGAAATTAATACTCTCTTCGTCCCAATTTATGTGGCACAATCTGAATTGACACAAATTCAAGAAAGAAAGAAAAATGTTTGAAACTTGTGATCTAAAATAAGTCTTAGATATTTGTTTGGCTTTAATCATCTCATTAAGGAAAAAATGAGTATTTTAAAATCAAATTGTTTCTAAATAGAGAAATGTGATTTTTTTTTTGACAAACTAAAAAGAAAAATATGCCATATAAATTGAGAGAGAAATAATGTATTGGTACGCACAGGCGAATCTAGTGCCTACTAAATTCATTGCTTTCGGTTCAATAACTTTATACATATATTCAAAAAGGAGAGCATTCATACAATAAAATTCCACTCATTTGAACCATTGTCGCTAGATTTTGGATTTTCCTTTGTTGGTAAGCCTTAAAGATTTCCATAACGATTGTTCGAGACTTGAGTAGCTCAATCCCTAGCTCTGCTAAGGTGGTGAATCCTAATACATAATATCTTGGCTAATTAAGGAGTTAGAGTAATCCAAGTTCTTGTTATGTCGAGAAAGAGGCAAATTCGAAAATAGAAATGATAAAGAACATCAAATTTTATTATGGAAAACCTTTCAAACTGAAAGTAAAAATCACAGGATCACAAAGATCCAAAAAACTCCACTATAACAATAAGAGAATTACAAATATTGTCAAAACTAGCTACACAATAAGTAGCAAATACGGAGCAACAATAGCAACAAGAAACCAATTAAAAAAAGGAGAGAAATCACCCAAAAATGAAGCTACTGTTCACAGCCGAAATCTGAAGCTAAAAGCCTCCAAATTCAATCTCCACTGTTTAGATCCAAGACCGAGATGTTAGGAACACTTGATTAAAATTTCAGTCCGATCCAACAGTGAACGAAGCGAAATTGCAATTTGAGGAGGGCTTGTATGCACAGAAAATTCTCGAGCAAAGAAAGATTTTCTCTCTTTTTCACACAAAGTGGTCGCTCTCTAAAACCTCTCTTATGTCCTAACGTCTTTCAAACAATAAATATCAATGATCCCAGAATAATTCTTCAAAGTTATTCTAGTTATATATAATAAGTGGTGCTTTTTATTAAAGGGAAAATCAACTCCAACCAGGGAAAAAAAAATCCAATTCAAAATAGGAATAAAAATCAAAGAGAATAGGATTAGGCCATTAAGCCTCTGGCTGGACAACATGGACAACAAACTCCCCGTCCAGCCAAGGGGCTAAATGTATCTCAAGTAGAGGAACTATTGACAGGCTTCATGCCTGCCAATTGTTGCAAGCGAAACTCTAAATCTAGTTGCAACTAAGTCTAGAACCATACAAGTAGAAGACATCTTCACAACCGGAAAGAAAATAATATCAAGGCCAACTCCCTTCTTCTTGCCAAAATGTTTAACAACTGACATCATCTTGTACCTAAGCACAGAGGTATGTTGATTTTGCTTTACTTTGAAAATCCATTTGTTTGATAAACTTCTCTTATCTTTCGGTCATTTCACAAACTTATATGTGACATTCTCATGGAGTGACTTCATCTTATCTTCTATGACTTTTACACACTAATCTTTGTGAGTATCTTGCATGCTTCATCATAACATTTTGGTTATCCCATGCTGGTCAAAAGTATATACTCAAAAGAGTTTTGTGAATCGTTGATTGGTTGTTTCAGCTACAGTCTTGTGTATATGGAATGTCAGATATATTGCGCCCTTATCTTGTCATTTTTACCTCTATATGCATGGTAGTATCAAGCCAAACACATCAGAAACTTTTCCCTAGGTGATGGCTTTTAAATAAAGAAAAGTCCATTATAAATTAGGGTTCAAGTAAAGCAACATGCGTTCATGTCCACTTAAAATTAGAGCAAGAATCTAAAATAGAACCGCCATACATCACAACACTTAGATAGCATATTCCTTAAATGGCCCTTAAACACTACTCCTTCTGTTCCTGTGATGGAGTTACTATATTTGGAAAGTCAAATGAATTTTCTTTGATCATTAATTGTTCATACCTTTCAAATATTTTGAATTTGTTTGATATTTTAACTTATAATATATCTTGTATAGTTTCTAAATATATTCATTTTATTTAAAATACACCAAGATTCTATATTCGAATTCACACAACAAAATTAGATTGTTTGACCTTATACTCAAAATCGCCTCACATAAAGTGGGAAGGGGGAATATTATAAATTAAGATTGATAGTAGTTCACCATGCATTCTTTATTCGTTCAAAAGAGCAAAGTTTTCTATCCGGTAATCAGAATCATTTTACTTGTGAAACATGAAGTAGCCATGCAACTTTACTTTGTATTCTCTCTTTTTTTACTTTGGTGATGCTGTTAAGAAGTTGATCATAATAAAGATAAGCTTACATGAGATAATGATGGTTAGATTGCATTGTAGATTTTGTACTTAACTCAACGTAATAGTCATACATTTAGTAGACCTCTAAGTCATTTGTAGAAGCTATCAGTTAGCATACTTAGCCTAGTTTTTCCATTGTTTTGTGACTTGTATAAATGCAGTCAGTTGTGGCTTTGTAAGACATGTGAAAACACACGATTACTGAATATAATTCCTTCTCAATCTTGTGATTTTCTACATGGTATTAGAGCTTTCTGAAGCTATGCTGCCCACACCAAAAACCAGATCAAACATGGCCATAACAACACCCTCAACCTCTTTGTGTCTATCACCTACTTCCCAGCATCATCTGATTACCTCTTGTCTAGTTAAGTTGAAACCATCGAACTAGTTAATCTGGAGGACACAAATACTCCAGTTGATTCAGATAACGAAGGTGACAAATCTGATCAAGGAAGGCAAGCCAGACACAAGTAGTTCATCTACTTTTGCTGGTGTTGATAAGGCTGTCGAAAAGGTGATGACAACACTAACTGGGACGAAAAAGATATGCTCCCGAGAAGTTGGATCTCTGCTATAATGATTGAGGAAAGCATGTATCTCGTTGTGGGATGTTCAACTGCCAAAGAAATATGGAAATGCTTGGAGGAAGCATACCTGCAGGCAAACAAGAATAGGGAATTTCAACTTAAGCAACAACTGCATAATATCAAGCTACGAACCAAAAGGCTTGATGAATATCTGAAAGAGTTCAAAGCATATGTGATGGTCTTTCAGCCATACATAAGGATGTCAAACGGACCGGGTTGACTCGTTTTTGGACCGACCCAGACCGGTTGAAACCCGGACCGGCCCGGGCCGGTAGTTAGGGGACCGGGTGGGCTAGGTTAGGGGGGTTAGGGGGTTGGTCCGTTCACTCTTCTAGATCCGATTAACTGGACCGGTCAAATTAAAATACTATTGAACCGGTTAACCGGCCCGAACCGGTTTAACGGCTAGATTTCTATTTTTTTTTAATTTTTTAAACGTTTTATGACCATTGGCAACGGTCAGCTGCCTTTTGGCCGTTGGCCAACGGCTGGATTGCACAAATAGCCCTTTTTTGGGCATTTTCTTAAAAAAAAATAACACTTTTTGTAATTACTAATTTAGCCCTTTGAAAAACTATAAATACTCCCCCCTCTTCTTCATTTCTTCACTCATCTCTCATTTCTCAAACTCATATTCTCAATTATCATTCTCTCATTCTTCACCTAAAGTGCAATCAAGTATTTGGGTCTCATTTTTTTGGAATATAATTTATCGTATTATTTTTTATTTGAAGTTTGAACAATTGAACTTCAAACTTTGAACAATTGACATTTCTTCGTGGTAACATTGGAGTTGCGA